CGGCCCCTCAGACCGTGCAGGGAACAGAAGGGAAGCCAGTGTGGAAGCGCAGGATGCAAGCGCGCCCAGGCGGCACAGACCACAATCCACTGCTTACTTAAAAAAAAAAAAAAAAGAATATATATATATATATATATATATATAATGCAAAATGACAACATCTTTGCAAAGATGAAAGTTTCTTACTAGCTCCAAGTGGCCGCTCTAAAGGGAGGGTCACCCGTGCGGCTTGGTGCGGTGGGGGATGTGCTGTTTTCGGTGCAGACCCCCCTGTCCCATTCTCCAAATTGGCACATGTTGCGGCTTTTCTTTGGCCGCCTTTCCTGTGAAGATGTGAAGATGTGTTCTGCAGCATCACATGGTCAGTGACTCCAGGACACGGTGTCTTCTTTTGCTGCAAGTTAAGATTTATAATTTAGAAAGGAAAGACCCACCTGTGGGCAGGTTGTTAGTAACAGAGGGATTAGCTTTAAAAGAGGGTCCGGAATTAATTGTGCCCTGGGTTTAGGCCTCAGGGAAATTACAAAAGGATCAGGGACAGTTAGTTGAATGGGGAAAAGCCAGGACTGTTTGTTTTCAAGAAGGCATTTTCATTCCTGCATTTACCTATGAAACTTCAAGCTTTAGCAGGCCTATTAGAGCAGTTTTTCTTCATTCTTTTTTTTTTTTTTAATATACCCAAGCTCCTAGGACTCAAAACATCAACTACAGATAGTTTTTCTTTCCTTCTCTCTTTTTTCTTTTCCTAAGCATAAACAGTCAAGGGGCATGCCAGCAAATATTGTGTATAATGTTGCAGTGGTGAAAAGGATTGAAGGAGAACAGTTTGACTTTATAAGAAAAGGAATTGGGTCTAAAAGTCGCATTTCATTCACATCTAAAAACCAGTGGTATGTTTTCCTCAGAGAAAAATCTTTGAAGTGAAGCAGAACTGAAGTTTTCCTTCAGAGTTGTGTTCTAAATAAATTCTACTTTATTATTTAAGAAATGCCAAGTTTTAAAAGGAGTCCTATCGGCTACTGCCCTAGTTGTGTGTATTTTAGGATTCCATCAGGAATTTTTACCGGTCACTTCTGTACCTCATGCTTTGCTTTATCTCAGGACGGAGGGCTGAATTTTCCAACTCGGCTGAACATCCTATGAAAACATTGCCACCACAGTTAGAAGCAGACCCTTTTCTGCTCACTAACTCTTTAGGCAGAGTTTTGATGAGGTGTGAGAGTCTCGAATGTGAAAACTTTCTCCTTTGTAACTGACAGAGACAAAGTTGGGTTTTTATCAGTAAAAGAAGCTGATATAATTTATAGGGATATACAGGAAGCAGATGTCTGCCTTGGCAAGTTGCCATTTTTATAGCCCGGTTCCAAGCATAAACCGCACTTTTAAATAATTAGTTACTAACTAATGAGATCCAAAAATAAGTTGTCAAAATAGAAGAAGGGGGTAGACTTTCCAGTGACCAAGGGCCTATTTCTAAAAAAAATCGGTTTTGAACAGGAGGATGGGGGAGAAATTAGTATTCTCCAAGACCATTAATTAGTGTGATTTCAATCAGAGCCTGGGGCTCTACCTCTTCTTGGGAGCCTCTCTCTGGTGATGAGTATTTGGAGGGTTTTTATTGCTTTGTTAAAATGAAGTCCTTTGCTTGGGGGAAAACCAACAACTCCACAAAAACCAAGTTTGTCAAGGAGCTTTGGTGACTTCTCACTGCTATTAATTAGTTTCCTCTCCTAAGGAAGAGACAGACTGAATTCCTACCAAGAATCCCATCTCTTCTTCTTCTTCTTTTTTTTCTATTCCATTAGCTGATTTCTGTGTCTGGTATCAATAAACTCCATACAGATTGCACTGATAAAACTCTTACGTGTGTTTCAAGGGAAACAGTTATAATAAGTGCCTCTTATCCAAAATGGTTGAAAATAGAGTGTTTTGATTGATTAAATATTCCTGTTAAAGTTTTTGTATAGTTTTCCGGTTTACAAAGAAACGCTGGCTACAAAAGAAAAGATATGTAGCTAAGTCAATGGCAATTAAGATTGAAGACTGATGAACTGAGTCACAGGATCATTGTTGGACTGTGTATTTACATAGTAAACACTCTTGCAGGTATGAGGTGCTGAGGAAATAGCCAGGGGCTTGTCCTCATGGAGTTTAGGGTCTAGAGGAGAAGACAAGACATTCAGCAAAGATTCCAGACGGGCCGCAGAGTTGATTAGGATGGTGGTTGGGATGAGCTGTTGGAATTCAGCACTTCATTCTTTAGTTCGTCCAGTCTGCAAAGATTTCAGTGAGGACCTACAGCGTTGAGTACAGAGTGGTGAACAAAAACATGTCTGCAAGTTCAGTGATCTTGATAATCACCACTGCTGTTTGAAATAGAGGTTCGGGGGCCACCTCCAAGCACAGGGGTTAGGCTGGCAGCTCTGAATGTTTCACTGAAACTAAACAAAGCTGATTCAGATGGCGCTTGTACTACCCTGAGGAACAGTGCTGTGGATGAGGTTGAATGGTTCTAATTGCATGCTTTAAACATGATATTTAAATCAATTTAGATCCCTTCTTGGTCTTTTGGCTAAGATCAAGTATAAATCAATTTGGGGGGAGCATTCAAACAATTTAAAGAATTATTCTGGGTTTGGTAGAGCTGGAAGGGATGGTCGATAATTTCTCTTTCAAGGGTTCTTGATCTGGGTTCGAGGGCCTGTGATCCCTTGAAAATCAAATGGGCAGTTTTTTTTGTGTGTTTAAGTCTATTGGGGAATTCCCTGGTGATCCAGTGGCTAAGATTCTGAGCTCCCAAAACAAGGGGCCAGGGTTAAGTCCCTTGTCAGGGAACTAGATCCCACATGCCACAACTAAGACCTGGTGCAGCCAAATAAATAAATAAAAATAAATATTAAATGTCTTTTATTAAAAAATGGATATTGGGGGGGAGGATCCATAAGTTTTAACATCTCCTTAAACAAGATTGGACACCCCACTGCCCCCAAGGTTATGTCCCTCTGTGTGACACTGTCTTGTGACAGAGAAGGAAACTGAAAGTGAAAGTCGCTCAGTCGTGTCTGACTCTTTGCGACCCCATGGACTGTACAGTCTCTGGAATTCTCCAGGCCAGAATACTGGAGTGGGTAGCCGTTCCCTTCTCCATGGGATCTTCCCAACCCAGGGATCGAACCTAGGTCTCCCACATTGCAAGTGGTTTCTTTACCAGCTGAGCCACAAGGAAACTGAGGTGCCGGACAACTCCAGGGGACATCAGTAAGGCCCTACCCATTGACTTGTGCACCATGGCAACCTTCAGAAAAGAAGGCCTACAGTCCTTCACTATTGTGATCTGTTGGGCTCTTTGAGTAATGTTTCTGAATTTGGAGTGGATCTTATAATTGATATGTAAATTTAACCTAGGGTGTCTTTTTGTCTTTTTTATTCTAGAAAAGCTGTTCTTAAATAACTTGTGTGCTTTTCAGTGAATGCCAGTGGATAATCAAGGAGAAGATGTAGAAGTTACTGGAAGAGCTGTTGCTCCAGGGCCACGAGGCCTCTGGGCCTTCAGCTTTTCTAGTTAGTTATTCTAGGTTTCCTCTACTATAAAGACAGCATTTGCAGTTCCCTTGCAAATGTGAGTTAAGGTTGACTAAGAATCCTCCATCTGTTTCTTTAAGACGTTTAGTCCATGACTGGGTTGCCTAGTTTATTTCACTAATCGTTTTGATGGAACACAGTGGTATCGGCTCAATGTAGAAAATAGGCAGATGACTCCATGGAAGAAATGCCCGCAATCTAGATAACTTAAGGGAAACATGGTAGAGAGGGGACTTGTCTTTTCTTGTATTCTTTGTTGTTGTGGATCATGACTGCAAAAAAGGGACATGAACCAAACAGAGAGAAAATTGATGAATGATGAGCTAGGGCGATTATCACATGAATGACACCAGTGAAAGACAGACTAACTGCCCTGCCTTTAGCTGAGTTTTAATATTTCTTAAGTGGTTCTAGCCTTTGCTGTCCGTGATCTTTTGCCTTTTCCTTTAGGATCCAGAGTGTGTTGTTCTGTCACCTTTGACGTTTTAAAAACGTAACTTCAGTGAATGGAAATGTTCTGCTATTTAGAGAAAGCTTTAAGAATATGGTCTTCCTGAATGAATTAGACTTAAGAGGTGTATTGCAGTTCACATATCTTAGTGAGGAAAGCACAATCATTGACCAGTGTCCTCTGATTCAAATGGATGGGAGAAACCGTTGGTCACTCTTTTTTTCTTCTAAAAGATTTCTTTTTTTAATGTGGTCCATTTAAAAAAATCTTTATTGAATTTGTTACCTTGTTTCTCTCTCTCTCTTTTTTTTTTTTTTTGGCTTTTTGGCCATGAGGCATATAGTATCTTAGCTTCCCGCCAGGGATCAAACCCACAGCCCCTGCATTGAAAGGTGAAAACTTAACCACTGGATGGCAGGGACGGCCTTGTCAGTCACTCTTTAAAACATCGAATTAATAACTAAAAGCTGTCCCTGGCTTAAAAAGTTGTCCTACTTCCCTTTCTTATAAAATTGGCCACCTTCTAATAAATGTCGGAGACATTTGGAGATGTGGCTTGAAGGAGTAATTTGACACTTGGGTTTCTCACCAAAATCACAGCTGAAAATGGAGATACTTAGACTGTTTAATAGGAAATGCCCTGTAGGATTTTGGAAGAAGTCCCACATTATGGACAAGTGCCTCTGTCCTTCTTTTGCACATGTAGACAGAATTCAACCGGCTTGTTACTAGAACTTTGAGGCCTTTTTGTAAGAAAATTTGTGGGGAAGGGACGTCCAGATTTCACATTGGCTGATGCTCTAGGCTGATGCCTAGGCTGATTTTGAATTGGCTGATGCTCCTCAGGTGACAGGTGAAGTGGCTTTTGGGATTTCTTTTTTCCTCCATCTTATCTGAGGTTGATGGTGCTGTTGTGGATTTTTTCAGGGATTCCTGGTTGCCAGAGCTGAAGGAATGAGAAGGCGTCATGGAGGCCCAGTCCCAGAGCTCGACGACCACTGAGAAAAAGAAAGTGGAGAATTCCATAGTGAAATGCCCCACTCGGCCAGATGTCAGTGAGAAAGCCGTGGCCTCCAGCACCACTTCCAATGGTGAGCGGCCACGGGGATTCCCTGCAGCCAAGCCTGCAGTCCTGTTCTGTGCTTGGCATTCCTCGTGAACTGAACGTTTGCACCTGGACCTGTATTTGTCCTCTGAGAGGCTAAAGAGCATAAATGGAGGTGGTGGGGGGAGGGGCTTGGGATGGGCAAGCTTTCGGCATCTCTATTTTGGCAGTGAAACTACATGTTTTCTTCCAAATTTTCTAATTTGAGATGTAAATGTGATAGGTTATTTATTATAGGAAGTTCCTGTTTTGGCATTTTGGAAATCATCTTGATGAGTCTGGCAGGACTTCAAAACACTTTGCATTTCACATCGGAAGTCTCCACTCATCAGGATAATTAGTGATTAGCTATTACAAAAGACACAAGCGCTGTCTTGTCCAAGTTAGTGAGAGGGTCCCCTGCCAACCCCCCAAACCCTGAGGAGTCCACTAAAAGATTTTAAAAGCTGTTAATGGTTGACCCTTCAGTAGTGGTTGAAGGTTGAGCCTCATCTAGTTTCTGAGATGCAGGGTAATGTCCTTAATTTGCGTTCAGAGATAACAGAGAGCTACTGTTTCTCTGTGCTGTATGTTTTAATATTTTAAGCGTAGTGCTGAGAGGCATTTCAATTTAAGCATGGAGCCTTGAAAATAAATTCCAGACCCCACCTCTGGTAAAAACAGACTGAATAAGTTAATGGTAACCTTTGCTTCCCGTCCTTGCTTTTCATTCCTGCTTTAAGACCATCAGCTCCTTAGCTTTCTGTAGATTTCATAGCCACCCTTGGCCTTCATGAATTGCACTCTGCTTTGCCATGTGTCCTTGGGAAGGATAGGCTGGCCCACTCTCTGTCCTGGACACTGCCTACCTGGGTAAATGAATTTGGATCTGCTGAGCCAACCTGCTCCCTCCCTCCCTGTGGGTTTGTGTTTTATTTATTCCAAGAAAGGTTTGACTAGGTTGATTTCTAACTTTTTACATGCAATGAAATGGGAGGGTCAGAATCTGCTTTGGAAGGTCACAGCCTCGAACCATAGGCTATAAGTGCAGACATCCAGTAAAAAAAGCTGCACCTTCCAGTAATGGAGTCTACTTTTTGCATTATTCCTCCAGTGGAATTATAGAAGTCATATTTTCTCCCTAAAAAAGCTCCCCGTGGCCCTTGCTTCTTTTCTCTGGAATTTGTAAAAATTAGACACGTTTATTATTTCAGACAGAGTCAGTCTATGCCGTGTAGGTGATTTGGGAATTTTAATAGGAATTTTTTAGTGGTGTGTGTGAATGAGTGAGCCTGTGTGTAAGTGTGTGTGTGAGAACAGGGGAGGCATGTAAGTGGGTAGAAGCTGGTGCTACCACGTGGAGTGTCCATAAGCCCCTGTCCTTTCTGTGAATTTCAGCAGAGTAACCATAGCGACCTATCCTTGGTGAAGGTGCTGCCAAGTTGGCCACTCTGGCACCAGAATGCAGGCTGGGCAGGTTTTTGGTGCTGCCACATTTGTCTTGAGCCACTCTGATCATGAGTTGTCCCCATTAACTTCCTTCGGGTGCCCGGGAACGGTACTAACCTAATCAGCCCCTGGCAGCCAGGAAGCCACTGGGGAACAGTAGCCAGGGAAGGAGTAGTCACAGTTTACACAAGTTAGTCCATGAGTCCCAGATAACCACAGAACTGACTGAATCTGAATTCCATGGGTTTTCCATCCTGATCAGGCTGGGTTCTCAAAGCACCCTTTAAGTGGGTGTAAAGCATCCTATTTGGGGGCAAAAGCTCATTAGTCAGGTTTGCAGGGCTCCTGCCTGAATGATAGCCTTCCTAGAAGCCCTGTGAGTGCTGACCATTTTTTCCAATGTTCTATTTCTTGTAAGGGATTTACTCCTTTTTATTTTGGGATAGCATAAAGAGCTGATCAAATAAAAGGGAAATGGAGGTGGTGTTTGTAAACATCAGTGGCAGTCCTGCTGGAAGGTTCCAGGGAAACCAGCAAATAAGTTTAAAGAAAAGAAAAAGTAAAATAAAGGAAAATAAACTTCTTTCCTTGTGTTGGCTTTACATAAGCAAAGCTAATAATGGTAATGATTTTTTAATATAAATTTCTCTGCAGGAGGCATCTAACTATCTAACTAGTTCAGAGCCTCTTTATGGCGCTAGGATTGTGCTCAGGGGGTGGAATGGCCCAGCTTCTTTGTTCTGCCAGCTTCTACCTGGTGGCATGTTGCCCTTTGCTGTCAGTTGTGGTCACACAGCTAGTCTGGGGGCTTTGGTCTGGGTTTGATTTGGGTTTTAGAGTTAGTGGGAGGTGGGCGCACTGCCACTGCCATGGTCATTCATTTATTTGTCAGTTCTGTCTTTTCTCTGAAACAGTTCAGAAGTGGTTGGATACCTTCACTGAGGCTGTTCACAAAAAGGCTATGAAAATTACTTAGATCCTACTACACGTAGTACCCATTGCTACTGTTTCCATGGGGTTCTTAGCCTTTCCTTACAAAGCTGTGAAATTTAGAGATTTGTAAATGAACAATTAAAAATAAGTTCCATACCAAGATATATTATGGACATAACCTGTGTATTTTCTCTCTCCCATCCACAATTTCAAGAGTAAAAGAAAACAAACAAAAATTTTTTGTTATTGGCGCTGTGTTGGGTTGACTTAATTAACTTTTCCAGCCATTATGTGCTGCAATTTGTTCCTGATTGTGGAGCCTTCCAGCCAAACCACGCACATTCCTCTGCATGTCCTTACAGATTTGTTTTCTTACTTTTCTCAGTTGAGTATCTACTTCTAGAATAACAAGTCATACGTTTTGTGTAAACGTACACATACACACAACCAAAATGTATGGTTCAAAAACCCGAAGCAACATTTTAAGGAAGGATTTGTCTCAACATTGAACTTGGAATTAGCACAAGTGAAAAGCTGTTTTGTAATTTATGTGGAGCCAAATTGATTTTTGTAACATTTAAGAACCTATATCAACATATGAAGCTTTACATTACACTTATTCAGGAACCACAGTGTATGTTTCATGTGCTATAGTTTGATTTTAAGCTTTAGTGTTATCTCTTAAGCATAAATGATGAGAGGACATTTAGTTTTCTGAATATTTGTTCAGTGCAGTTGACATGTAAATGATCATTTTTGGCATCCAGGATGGTGTCTTTCACATATAAAGTGTGCACTCAGATATTAGTTGTCATTGTTTACTTAAAAATCTCTAAGTCTGTTAATATGCTAGTGCCTTAAATGAAATGCCTTAATGATCTGCTTTGTTTTTTGGGATGAATTCATTAGTTTCCAAGCGGCATGTTGTATTTTGTGAATAACAGACTTTTTTTTTTTAATCTAGATGTCCCAATGTATTAAACACTTTTCATTGTCCTGTTAAATCTCCTTCGATGACTTGCAAACGCTGACTTTTCAGCGTGAGGTGTTTTGTCTCATTTTTGGTCTATGATTTTTTTGTTTAAGAGGTAATCTGATATTTCTCATTAACCTACTACTCTGCTTTAAAAAAGAAAGTAATAATAAACGTATGTAGGTCCTGGTTTTGGGGATCTTTTATCAGATCTGATAGTTATGGGGAACATACCTTAAAGTGATAGAAAGCAGAAAGTATTATCTTAATGGTGATGCAATGTGAAACCAAAGCTGATAGATTAATAAGGGAGAGGAAGTTCCCTGTTCTCTTTGATTATTTCAAAAAGAAGTGCTTGGTTCTCCTCTGCTTAAAAAAAAAGAATTCTTTGAGGTTTCTAAGGGGAAAGTGTTGTGGTCGGCAAATATGTAGGAGATGCCTTTTTTAAAAAAACTTTAACTTCTGATTGCTTCCTGGCCTTGTGATTTTCTTTCAAACTGTCCAGTAACTCTTATGAGTATTAATTGGAATATCTGTTGGTCTCCTTGCTGGGAATAAGATAGCTCAGAATTTTGTTGAGAGCTTGGAGTTTGTCAGCCGCTCACCACCAGGATCTCTTTTCTTTTTGACCTTTTTTATGGTAAGAGTTTATAGACCTAATTCTGCTCAGAAATGGGTGGATGGTTCACACCAAAAAGCCAGTAGATTGTGAGTTTTAGGTTGCCTGTCCCTTTAGATGTCCAATCCCTTTTTTCTTGGCCACATCCCATTTCCTGGCACATGACAGATGGACAGATGGACGGAAAGGACTTTCAGATAACATGGTTTCACATTGTGGGGTGTTGGATAGGAATACCCCAGGGATTGGGCTGAAAGTTTGAGCTGAGTTTTGGCAACACCAAGGACTAGCTTGGTGAATGTGGGCAAATTCACTTCTCAAAGTGTCGATTTCCTCATCTGTTTATCAAGATACTAATTAGACCCACTTCATAGGATCTTCAGGATTAAACAAGGCAGTGCCTATATATAGTAAGAGCTTAGCAAACATTAGCCAGCGTTATGGGAATGAATTAAAATGTTATGAATCCAAAACAAAAAAGATCATGCTTTTTTGAAAATGCACATAGATTTTGAAATTAATGGGAAAATGATTGGCAAAAGTAATTTTGAATTTGCTGAACTCTGTCTGAAAAACAGTTCAAGATGCTTCACAAATCCTGAAAGTGACCAAGTTTACACATTTTAAGGAAGGATGGATTAAAAAAAAAAACACCACCACAAAAATCTGTGTAACTTCCTTCTGAATGCCTTCTTAAGCTAGAAAATGGGAAAGACAATTTTGAGAAAATTTATTTTGATTTAACTTTGAAAAACTAACAGTGCTTTCATATTGTCTTAATATTAGAAACAACATACAATGCATCTGCTTTCTTGATTCCTTTTTAGGGGTAAACTGTTTCCTTTCAGGTTAGTGGTACCCATTTATAGAGTAGTTTGTGCTGCATTAAATTTTATGCTTGTTCAAAGAGTTTTCATGTTTTTAAACCAACTAACTCAAGACGAATAATCTGATTCTCATAAGAGCTCTGACATCTCTTGAGCTCTCAGGAACTCATGTGTTCCTAAACCTGGCAACCTCTGTCTTCTTATTT